TGAGGGGTGAGTAAAGAACACACAATCAAACTTAAAAAAAAAAAAATTAACCAAAGTGACTAAAATTAGTGGAAGAAAAAGAGCTATCACAGACTGACTGCTGAAAGCCGAGTGGAATTAGTAAATCCAATGATCCTAAAAATCCATTTCTACATTGTTTTGGGGTCAAGGTAACAATTGTTTATGGTCTCTTATGTTCTATTTGTCTTGTTGACGGACAAGACAAATGGAAATACTAGGTTTACTACACAAAAACGGTGTACCATGCAGAAGAGACATTTCAAATTATGAACATGGTTTACCCGTATATTTGTTTAATGGTGTGATATTATTTGTTCCAGCTTGCAGTAGAGTGTATCTTTTGCTCAGCATGTATTCGCTTTGTGGAGTGTTGCCCGCAAGAAGGACTTACTGGTTCGTTCATGCTCTAAACTCCTAACCTCCGTTTCACGACCTGGTTTAATTGTTTTAGTTTTTTCTTTTCTTGTCCTTCACCTAAACTCTATCAATTCCTCATATTTAATGTGTGCTTCTTCCAATGGCAGAAAATCTATGGATTGGACTTGAAAATTTTATCTTCGATTGGCTTATTAATGCTGACAGGTAAATGATTAAGCTAAATATAGAAATTGTTGCAAGTACTGGCTCGTCATGTTTCAATTCCTGTCTTGATTCTGACTAAGGTGCAATCATGTTTGTCAATTGTGCTGACTGCTGAAAGCCGAGTGGAATTAGTAAATCCAATGATCCTAAAAATCCATTTCTACATTGTTTTGGGGTCAAGGTAACAATTGTTTATGGTCTCTTATGTTCTATTTGTCTTGTTGACGGACAAGACAAATGGAAATACTAGGTTTACTACACAAAAACGGTGTACCATGCAGAAGAGACATTTCAAATTATGAACATGGTTTACCCGTATATTTGTTTAATGGTGTGATATTATTTGTTCCAGCTTGCAGTAGAGTGTATCTTTTGCTCAGCATGTATTCGCTTTGTGGAGTGTTGCCCGCAAGAAGGACTTACTGGTTCGTTCATGCTCTAAACTCCTAACCTCCGTTTCACGACCTGGTTTAATTGTTTTAGTTTTTTCTTTTCTTGTCCTTCACCTAAACTCTATCAATTCCTCATATTTAATGTGTGCTTCTTCCAATGGCAGAAAATCTATGGATTGGACTTGAAAATTTTATCTTCGATTGGCTTATTAATGCTGACAGGTAAATGATTAAGCTAAATATAGAAATTGTTGCAAGTACTGGCTCGTCATGTTTCAATTCCTGTCTTGATTCTGACTAAGGTGCAATCATGTTTGTCAATTGTGGCATGGATTCAATTTTTCTGTTCTTTGGGCCCTAAACGTCTTTATATTGCCACTTTGTGATGTAATGAGTACAAAAAATACAAACTACATAAAATAATTATTTTTAAAGCTCATGTAATTACTTTTGAATGTAAACGTAGTATACCATGAATGTATGATCTTGTATATTGGTTGCTTTTGGTGCTATGAATAATTATTAGCTATATTTCACGGGGATGCTTAATGGATCAAACTGGAAGGAGCTTTTGTATTTATTTTCTTTATATAAGTAATGGAAATTAATTGATGATGTTTCTGTCCCCCTGTAATCTCGTTACAAAAGACCAATTATTACCTACACATTAGATGATATTTGCCATTGAGAAACTCTATATCTTCTGTACAAACTCCATCCCAAAAAAAATCTTCAGTTAATTGTGATGCTGCACCAACGGGACAATTAATAGAGAAATAGAACAAATCTATGGGAGAGAGAATTAAAGAGAAGAATGGGGAAGAAGAAGATTCAACAAGAGAAAAAGAAAATAGGAAGAGAGGAATTCATCATAAGCCGTCAAAAGTTTTATTCAATCATTAACTGAAAATAAATTACAATGCAAAGTAGTTTAAATATTAAAAACCTAAACCCTAATTAGATTGGGCTTGAGCCAATATAAACCTAATAAGAATCCAAAACAATAAAGTCCACAAAATGAAATAAGGTCCAACTAGAAATAAATAAAAACGATTGGATGTCCTCATCAACTCTTCTGGGGTGGGAGAAAACTTGACTCTGTTGAGTGGATATATTAATATAGGTTGCAGTCAATCTCCCAACCATAAGTTGAGTGGTTGGGCAAGCTTTTTCCGGCGTCCATAGAAATGTGTTAGGGGAGGTCTGAATATGGTGTCCTCACCAACTTCCCTTGGCTGGATGGGAGGCGATCTGAGCCAAGGAAGATCCTACTGACTCCGATAAAACTCTAATAAATCTGGATCCAATTGCTGTAGTGTCTCTTTGGAGATCTATGTACAGTCAGAATTTGGTCGACCAACCCAACGAATAAGGAAGCGCTGGACCTCTCCATCATTAATTAGCATATTTTCTTTATCTAAAATAGCATCAATGTTATCTTTGTGTATTGTGAGAGATGGTAGTGAGTTAGAAAGGGGCCAAAGAATCAGGGTCAAGGTACACAGAAGGAGGTAACAGAGGATCATTTGAGGGAATGAAATCACCTTTATATGCAATTAAGTCCTCAACATTGAAAGTAGAGTGGTAACCAAAGTGGGGGTAGAATGTCAATAACATATGCATTTGGACCAACTTGCTTTAAAATTTTAAAAGGATCAGCACTACGGGCTTGCAATTTGGAGACGGGTCCATGTAGACGCCGCTCTGGCCTAATGCGGACCATAACGTAATCTCCAATGTTAAACTCAACATGTTGTTTATGTAAATCAGCTTGGAGTTTATATTTTGCATTACTAGTTTCAAGTTGTTTATTGATCTCAATATGCAAATCACGAAGGTGCTGTGCAAATGCTTCTTCTGACGCTGACACTGACACTCTAGCCTGTGGGGACGTAGGAATGAGATCTAACGGCTTCCTAGGCTTATACTCATGAACAGCTTCAAATGGATTCATACCTAATGAACGATTCATGGAACTGTTATACGCAATTTGAGCTACAGGAAGGATCAAATCTCAATTTCAAAGATTTTCCTGGACCAGACATCGTAACAAATTACCAAGATTACGATTAACTACTTCAGTTTGACCGTCGGTCTAAAGGTGATAGGCCGTAGAAAATTTCAATTTGGTACCCATCTTTTGCCACAAGGTTCTCCAAAAATGGCTAGTGAAACGAACATCCCTATTGGACACAATGGTCTTAGGAAGCCCGTATAATTTGACAATCTCATTAAAGAACAACATGACAACTTTGGACGCATCTGAGGTCTTGCTACAGGGGATAAAATGAGTCATTTTCGAGAAACGAGCGACAACTAAAAATGTAGAATCATGTTTCTTTGGGGTGCGTGGAAGTCCTAACACAAAATTCATACTAACATCTTGCTAAGGACAATTAGGGATGGAAAGAGGAGTGTATAGGCCTGTGTTTTGCCTCTTCTGTTTGGCCAATTGACAGGTGTTACATGTACTAACAATTTTAGCCACATCTTTCTTCAAATTAGGTCTTATCACGCCCAAAGTGACCGGCTAAACCTCCTGCATGAATTTCCCACACTATGAAATCTCGCACCGACGTTCGAGGAATGCACAATTTGTTGGCTCTAAAGAGATAATCCTCCTCAAGTCGGAAGCCATATGTGGTGTTTGATTGTCTCCCTTGCAAATCAAGAAAGATATCTTTAAAATCGGGACATATCTCGTAATCCTCCTTAAGCCTTTCAAAATCGATGACCTTGATATTCATGATCGACAAAAGGGAGACACGACGACTTAATGCATCAGCTGCTTGGTTCTCCACCCCTTCTTGTGTTTTAAAACAAATGAGTAGGCCTATAAATATTCAATCCAACGACCATGCCTAGAGCTTAATCTTTTTTGGGAGTTGAGGTAACGGAGGGCCTTGTGATCCGAATAAAGGACAAACTCCTGGGGTAACAAGTAGTGGCACCAATATCGCTAAGCCTGACCATCGCATACAGTTCCTTATCATAAGTTGAGTATCGTTGTTTGGCCTCATTTAACTTCTCACTGAAGTAGACAACAGGGTGACGATCCTGATTTAAGACTAGGCCTATACCTATCCCAGAGGCATCACATTCAACCTCAAAAACTTTGGGAAATTCGGGAATACGCATGATAGGAGCCTTCGTCATTCACTTCTTGACCAACTTAAAGGCCTTAGCCACTTCTTGTGACCAATGAAACTCCCCTTTCTTCATGCACTCCGTAATAGGCTCCATAATAGTGCTAAACCCCTTGATAAAGCGACGGTAAAACGTAGCTAAGTCGTGAAAACTTCTGACATCATGAGTAGTCTTAGGTTCAGGCCAGTCAACAATCGCCTAAAACTTAGCAGGATCAGCACATACCCATGTCAAAGAGACAATAAACCCTAGGAAAACGACTGTATTGGTGAAGAAAGAGCACGGTAGAGCAAACTTGTGTAAAATGGTCACAATGTTTCTCCTTAGTCTTACTATAGATAAGAATATCATCAAAGTAGACAACAAGAAACTTACCCATGAAAGGTCGAAGAGTGTGTGTCATTACCCGCATAAAGGTACTTGGCACGTTGCTTAACCTAAAAGGCATGACTAGCCATTCATAAAGACTATCTTTCGTTTTAAAAGCGGTCTTCCACTCATCACCTGAGTGAATTTTAATCCGATGGTATCCACTCTTCAGATCAATCTTCAAAAAAATTGTAGCACCAACCATCATATCTAGTATATCGTCAAGTCTAGGAATGGAAAAAGATACTTCACTGTGATCCTATTGATAGCGCGACTATCCATACACATTCTCCAAAAACCATCATTTTTAGGTGTCAATAGGGCAGGTACAGTGCACGGGCTTAAACTCTCACGAATGAATCCTTTGTGAATGAGGTCATCCACTTGCCTCTGGAGTTCAGCTTGCTTGTTAAAATTCATCCTATAATGAGGTAAATTTGGAAGGGATGCCCCTGGGACGAAACCTATGGCATGTTGAATGTCCCATAGAGGAGGTAGATGATAAGATAGGTCCTCCTAAAAGACATCCTGAAACTCTTGAAGGAACGACTGAACTTCAGTAGGGCTCTCTATTGTGGAGTTAGATGAAACCTCCATGACTACTAAAGCGAACACAATTGAGTCACCAACAAGTGTACGCTCAAACTCCGTAAGACTAATGATATGCAATAACTTTCGTTCCACCCTCTTCTTTGTTTCCTGTGAGGAGCCAACAGGCTTTGGGGGCAGTGGGTTAAGGTGAATCTTCTTTCCATTAAATACGAAAGAGCAGGAATTGGATGGACCATAAATAGATACATCCAAGTCAAATACCCAAGGTCGTCCCAAGATGATGTGCCCGATATCCATTGAAATGACGTCACACCATATATTGTCCTTATACTTAAGGAACTGGATAGGGACTAAATAACGCTTCTTGACAGCTATAGAAGAAGTACCAACCCAAGAGACGTTATACGGCTGAGGGTGAGGAACTGGCTTCAACCCTAGATGGGATACAGTAGCCATTGAAATCGCATTAATGCAACTGCCACTATCCACGATAACTTTACAGCCCTTGTTGTTGATGTTGATGTAAGTGTGAAAGAAGCCATGACCACACCAATCATCGGCATCCCCAGGCTGGGTAAGAGTGCAACGGACGACACCAACTCTAGGCGTATGTGGGATAAGGGAACTAGCCTGAATACAACCTAAGAAGGTATCTTTACTATTCTTCAAGTCATCAAACTCTTCCAACTTAGGTTCATAAACCTGGTCCTCTAATGGCTCGTCAACTATACCTTCACGCTCTTCCATAACTAGGGCTCGGCTAGGATACTTAGAAGAAATGTGACCAAAACCCTTACAGTTGAAGCATTGCAAACGGGAGGACGCCCTTGAAACCTTAGAACCTCTACCTCTACTATCCGATGCAGGTGTAGCATTAGAAGGAGGAGGCTCTAGAATAGACTTAGGGGATGGAGTGGATGCAGAAGAGGGTGCAGTGCGAGTGTCACTACGAGTTCTATACGGTGTCCTAGTTACTAACTTGTAATCCCGACCGAAAGAGTAGGCATGGTCAAGAGTGGTGACGCCTCTAAGGACAATCTCATGCCTAAGATCATCTCTTAGGCCTTGTCTAAACCTACTCAAGGTCATGATCTCATCCTCAACGACTTGACATCTCATTCGAAACTCATCAAACCGAGTAATGTATTCGATCACAGGTCGATTGCCTTACGTAAGTGCGTTCCATTGATCCGGCAAGTTACCCCTATAAGATTGAGGTAAATATTTTTCTTGAAGGTGACGTTTCATTTCATCCTAGCTCCTAACAGGGGGAGCATGACGCCTTTTCAGGAGGTCCTCAACACTTTCTTAAAAGAGTCGAGCAGTCCCAGTTAATTTCAAACTGGCAAATTGTACCCTCCGATCTTCCAGGACCCCATACTAGGCAAAGAAGCGATCCATATCTCTAATCCATTGATTGAACACACTAGGATCTATACAACTATCAAATGTAGGGGCATCTAACTTAATGTTTCAAAAGAGGCGCTCCTCGTGGCGAAGGGGAGATTGTGTACCATGACGGTGATATTCTCGCTCTCGTCCATGAGCTTGATTTCCTTCCCTACGATCATGTTTGGCTTGGTGTTGACCACCTTGTGGACGACGATGAGGTCTATTAATGGAAGTTTCAGAGTTTTCAGCTTCACTCGAATATGGGGTTGGATCAAGAGTGTTCAACCTAGTGGCTAGGGCTCTATTCTCCTCAGCGGTTACCTCAATTTGGATAGCCGTTAATTGATTTTGTAATTGTGCCAACTGTCGGGTGAGAGCCTCATCCCATCCATGGCAACGGTACTAGAGCTAGAGGTAGTCACACGACCACTACGCAAATGCATACAAAGTAACGCTAGCTAAGTGAAGCGCACTACTGGGATCAATAAACAATGGGTATCAACAGTGAAATAGCAATTTTTTTTTTATTTTTTTATTTTTAGTTACTTAAAAGATGGGATTATGCAGGCCCGAACGTGCAAGCTAATAATACTGGTGCAAATAAAATAGAAAGCAAGGATACAAATGGCTATTCGAAAGGTCTAATCACGTGGGGGTAATCGAGGAACAATGGATGTTAACTCACAAATCCTAATCAAGTGGATTTTTAAGGTTACAATTATCAAATAACAGTAACACAAAAAATGTAAATGATGCAATCTTGAGGTGAAGTAGTGTAAACCAAAAATAAATAGAGGTTAAGGACTCCCTGTCGTTCAGTTGCTTGAACTGCTGACATGTGGACTCTGGATATAATTGCGTCATTTCCTTCGCTTCAGGTGGTTTCCTGTGAATATGAGAGACTGTCGTTCTTGTTCTGCTAGTGGTGTATGTAGAAACTGTCCCTCTGTTGTGGTATTTTCGGCGGCAGGTGGCGGTGGAGATGACTGTGACTTCTATCCTGAGTGTGGAAGTGAAGGTGATGCAACAAGGAAACAATTAAAAGTCTATTCAAGGCAAAAGACTAATAATCAGTAGAATTCTAGTATATTTAAATTATAATAGTTTCATTTTGACAATGTTATCTTTTATTTTCAAGTTTCTTTAGATAAAAAGTTTATTTAATTTCAAAGTCCTTCTCTATATAAAGGGGCTTAGGGCAATGTTTAGAAACACTTGCATTATATGAATAAGATTATTTCTTTTGCCCTCAATTCTTCCCTGTGATTCCCCTTTCTTCTTATTATTCTTTTTCAATTTGTGTGTTCCTGCATCAATTTGGTATCAGAGCAAGCTCGTTTCCTTTGGCCACAAAATTATCCACAATCCTTGACCTCGTTTCCATCTACCTTCATATGCAGCCACCCTTCCACCGCCCATTCAACACTAATAACCACCATTACATACTGCAGCCTTTGAACATCACAAAATGAAAGAGGAAGAGCATTTATCGCAGCAGCAGTTTTAAGTTTTCCTTTTAGTTCTTTGTTCTTACTTTCAAAAAAAAAAAAAAAAATCAAAAAAAAAAAAAGTGGAACTGTTCACCGGTCAGTAGTAGTTGCATTAAATATTCTGAAAAAAAAGAGTATAATTTATTGTCGATTATTCCTCATATTGCTGCTTCATATGTCACAACTGTTGCTGTTCAACCAAAGGCACCCTATATTACCTAGCCATCGCTAATTTCCCCAAGCCCAAACTTTAATCTGTCATACCAACCCAATTTGTCAAAATCTAGCAGCCCAATTAAACCCATATCTAAATTACCCTAGCCCAACCCATTAACCAATTATTATCTCCTTACTTCCCCCGACAAATTGAATCCAAGACTCCAAGACAATCTCACCGTCAGCCGCTCACACCGCCGCCTGCAAAGCTACAAGTTCTTATAACTCTAACCCCGTTTCGGTCGTCGGCTAACATCACTGTTGGTTTCTCCATTTTTCGCCGCTACCAAAGCACTCCCCCAGTCTACCACTATCATCTATTTCCTAAACATCCATAACCACCACCACCTCGTCGGACAGGGAAGATTATCACACCACTAAAGTCATCGTTTTCCCCTCTCAACTCCATAAACTGCCTCCTGCCACTTTGTGCCAACCACTTCGGCTCAAACCCACCGGTGCTCCACCACTCAAATTCGGAATCTCCGCCGCTACTGTCACGGTCAAGTCCTCCACGCGTTCGGTCGCCATTATCGCCACAGAGGTACAACAATTTCATTTTCATCTCCGTCACTCCACTGCCGCTTGAAGCCTTTCGCAACTGTTACTGGCCCAGTTTGGTCACTGCTCTTGCTATCACCATCTCCGTCCCACCACTGCTGCAGCGAGTCCTGCCGTCTTGTGAAAAGCCTGTGGCCGGTTCTTCCCTTGTGTTTTGGTGAGGATTTCCTTCTGCTTTTATTGGAACCTTGCTATTATTCAAGTACTTTGCCTTTTACGTAGTGCTGCAAAAAAAAAAAAAAAAAAAACTTTTTCTCAAATCAATACAAATGAATTTCAAAGATTTAGAACACTCACACGAAGTATTATCTCAGCAAGTTGCCAATCTTTCAACTGATTTAGCGTCTATGAAGGCTGATTTTGCTGAACTTAAAGATTTTATCATTGAGTTACGTCGAAATCCTGAAAAACGCCTCGTAGATAATTTTT